CAACTAGTGGTCCCTTTGAGCATATTCCACTAAACAAGTAACACTCTATCTTTATTTATTTGTTTTTTCAAAATTCTTATTCGTTTGTTGTAAAACAAAAATTTCAAACTCTGCACAATGTAAGAAGATGGGTTATTTTTGTGTTTATTTTTGCTGAACCTAACTAGATGAATCACTATATCCACTACTCACAGAATCAATTTAGTAGTTGACTAGCCTGCATGGGCAGCTCAACTGGTCATAGGGGTGACGTTTGGGAAGAATGACTAGGGATCGAGTCTCACGAGCGGCGGTGTGGGAGCAACCTGTTACCATGATTTACATCCTCCCAGATGCTCTGTCTGGCCGGGGTGTGGGGGGGATTGGGGATTCAACATTTTGGGAAGAATTTAGTAGTTGACTAGCCCCAAAAGGGGTGGTTGAGTGGATTGGCCAACAGGGCAACACCCTCCAGGTCGAGTCCGTCACTCCTATTATATAGGAGCGGGGTTTACCCATGCACACTCTCGGATAGTGACTGCGGGTTTCCCTCGACTAGATTGGTTTTAACTATCTGTCTATTGTGTTTCTATGTGCATTGTGAAAGCTTAAGTCGCTTTTGTTCGATGCTTATTGATTTTTTTTTTCCTTCGATATTCAATCACAGCTTCGAGAATAATCCTCGGCTGGAAGGCCCGGAGTTGATGGGGCTTGCAAGCTACGACACAAACTGCTCATAAAGACGTCGTTCAATTGACTCGTCGAACTGCCACTGTGTTTAGAGGTTTACATATTGTTTCCTTAAGTAAATAGGTACCTCTGTACTGCCCTAAGATGATTGAAAGCTGTAACTTTAATCAGTTACCGTTGATGTAGGATTGCTATCAAGGTTGACAAAGATTGTGTAATATTGTTATATTGTACTGATACCAACAGTACCATGTTGTTAGTCAATCATGTTGTTGTATATGTTGCTTGCTTATTCATACCACTTCATAAACGTTTTAGGATCGTTTTCCGTGATTGAGAAGGGATTAAGATGTGCATTAAGATGCAAGGAAGGATTTTTCTTCCACATTCATTAAAATTTGGGAAAATAAAAGTCAAATTCCTTTTTTGTTCGGATGACGAGAAAAATTTGCATTTCTATCCAAGGGTGTGTAGGGAATAAATCTCATTCTTGTAATTCTATGTAATAGTTCGCAAACTATACATGAAAGATAAATCGTACAAAGAAAATCTTGTATGATGGGCTCAACCTTTTGTGTAATCATGTTTATAAGAGGTGCACTTGCATGAGCAGCTCAACAAGTCATAGAGATGAAAGTTTGGAAGAATGACCCGGGATTGAGTCTCACCCACCACAGTGTGGGAGCAACCTGTGACTAAATTTAACTTAGTTCTAAATTTATATTCTGAATCAACTCAAGACTAAATGGTCTACTTCTTAGAAGTTCAGAGATTTGAGTTTAAACCCTTGTCAAATTTTGAAGTTCAAGTTTTTAGAAGATTTCAAAATTAATTTTTTTATTCTTGTATTTAAAATCTAAATTAAGGGTTCATTTAGAAACCCAAAAATTATTTTCCATGAAACAAAAATTAAAGTGGATGTTTTAAAATAGTAAGAAATAACTTCATAATAACCAAAAAAAAAAAAAAACAAATATTATTTTAACCTTGAAATAGAGTTGACATACTTCATGGTGGAACCCAAACTAGGCAACATTATATTTCTTCAAGGAGTTTATGTAACTTTAACTTTATATTGGAACACATGTTACTTAGATAGGCACAAACTGAAACGCGCCTAGAGTGGTGGTCGCCACCAGTCCGAGCACTGTCTGAACCAAATTGGCCGCCACCGTGACGACGGCGCGTAGGAGTCCGGGGCGGGCGAGGAGGTCGCAGCCGACTATGGGAGTGTGAACGATGGCTTGACACGGGGTTGGCGATTGATCAAACGCGATTCCATCTAAGGCAGTAAGTATGGCATTAAACACTCCATTAACGTCCGTTAGGATCTGGGCAAGCGCCTCCGTGCGAGCGCCGTTACAAACTATCGTGACATTGACGCCGGCGAGGCCGCGGCCCGGGAGGTTGCCGGTGGTGGAGCACGCCACCACGCCGCGGACCCACAGGCCGGCCACGGTTTGGCCGTTGATTGTGACGCCGTTGGCGTCGTGGGCGAGGAGAAAGGTGAGGAGGAGTAATAGAGGAATTAACTTGGAACTCATTCTTCAGATTTCTAAAGTTGATAAATATGGTTCGTATGTGTTAGTTCGAGGCAAGCCCTTTTATAGTGAAAAACACAACAAAAAATAATGTGGAAAAAAAAAAGGAAAGTAAAAATTTTGAGAAAACATTATATTATTTTTGAAAGCTATTGACTCTATTACTCCGTATATTGCAATATCTGTTCATCTATACTTTCAACTTGTTGAAACACAAAAAGTCAACTTTGTTTCAGTAGAGGCTCAATTCCATGATCTTCCATATGTGAAATGTCACTATATGCCACTGAGCACAAGGTGCTTGGCAGTGAGAGAAAACATTATATAATTAACTATAAAGTAAATACCACTGGACATCTTCTGACTTTGGTGGCACTGTCACTTTTAGTCCTCACCTTTTAAATTAACCATTTCCAGTCCTCATACTTTTTGTTTTTAACCATTTATGGTCCTCCCGTTACATTTGGTCATCTAATGCCGTTTTCTCAAGGGCTCTATATAGTAACTTATTACTATTTATAGTAGTCTAGCTGTTACGTTGCATGCATGCATGCATGGGTATGAAGTCAAAACCAGATCGATGCTGAAGACAGGGAGAGTTCTGGGCAGCAGACCGGCAGAGATCTTGTTTGCTTTCCTCATCCAATTCATCATCATCATCTACTACCAACTTTTTCTTTTAAAAAAAGAATTGTGATTTTCTATATTATAACAAATTTAGGTTCCAAAATATGAATATATGAAAATTAAATTTTGTCTTTTATTTCAAACGCAACTGTGAATTACAAAGGACGACAAACAAATTAAATTTTAATGCATGTCATTACAAATTATATTTGATAATTAAGGACTTACTTTTCTGTTTTGTTTGAAGGTATATTGAGCTGAGCTGGTGTTTACTAAATTCTGTTTGATTTTAATTTGTTGGCTCTAAATGCTAATTTCAATCCTAGTCAGATCAGAATATAAGAATAAAGTCAGATTACAAATCCCAATCAATATAGGAAATTACATTCTCATTATTACCATACACTTTAAAAATAAAGGACCTCTTCTCTTGCAAGGTTATAAAAAGATCCACAGCCAACAAGGAAGGGCGTGTGCTTTCCATTCCCTACCTTACCATTTGTGCTGATCCTAAGACAAATTTTATTGTCTAAAAGTGTTCCTGAACTTATACTTTAAATTGTGCTCATAGTGGATTAGGCTTTTCTTGCATTAGAATTCTTTTTGTCACAATTGGGATTTTAAACAATCCCGCGATCATCACAAATTTTCCAATTTGATCCAATTGAGAGAGAGGAGTGAGAAGCCGCCATGGGAGAGAGAAAGGTTTTGAACAAGTACTATGCGCCGGATTTTGATCCGGCGAAGATAGCGCGGCGGAGGCAGCCAAAGAACCACTAGGTGAAGGTTCGAATGATGCTTCCAATGAGTGTTAGATGCAATACCTGCGATAGTTATATGTACAAGGGCACCAAATTCAACACTCGCAAAGAAAACGTCGTAGGCGACAACTATTTGTACTTAGATGGCATGTAGTGACGTCTTCCATATGGGAGGTCATGAGATTCTTTGTGTTTAGGTTTAGAAAGTATGTTTGAACTACAGATACTATAATGTAGGAGAATGTAATAGTCTTTTTACTTGAGTAAAAAAGAAATTGAAAGACTATCAATAGGCACTTCAAAGGTTTTTTTTTTTTTTTTTTTGAATAACACTTCAAAGGGTTTTTAATGAGCATATTTTTAGACTTGTGATACCACAATGTGTTGATAACTTAAAAATAAAATTAAAAAAAAAAAAAAAACATGGACCTACTTAGAAATAGATTTTTCTCTAAAGTTAAAATACTTATTTTAATTGTTTGGTCCAATTCCAAATACTCTATAATGAGGTAGTTTGTGTTGTTTCACTTTCCTAATTTATTTTCTATGAATCCTATTGCTGCATGGTTTCCTAGTTTCCTATGTGTCCTATACGCCACGTGCATAGAGTCCAGCGCAGCACACAACGCCTGTGGTGTCTCGGGGCACCTTATACCTCGCGGACCAACTTTACCCACGTACGTATCAATCTGGTTTTGCCCTACCATGAGCAGTTGTGCCCTTCGAATCGCATCGGTCCCTTTCATAGTCAAGTCCAAGACTAGCGACAGACTCCCAACACTTAATCGGGTCAGTGTGCCTAACTCAGCCAGACCTTAGCATCTAAGGCAAAACAACCCTTAACGCTATTGACGTCCCCTTCATCCATTTGACACCAGTTGACCGCTTCAATATTTGGGTCTTAACACGGTCACGAATTAAGAGTGGGAGGATGTAATGCGCAAGACACTTTGCTATATATTTCTGAGGTATCCCACATTCTCCTAGACTTATCTTGAACTTCCCATATCTTCCCATAGTTTATAAAATTTTCTAGAAGCATGTATATAATATAGTAGTTGTAGAGATCCTTAGAATATTCTAGAACCCTATAGAATACTCTTAGTTGTGTAGAGATTTAGTAAATGTTCTAGAACTAGATTATTAGCCATTAGATCAAGTAAATCTCCACTATCCATTTAGGAGGTGGAATGACTATAAATACCTCTCATGAGGGCTCATTTGTAACAATCCAAGCAAATCCATGAGTTCAAGTAATCCAAGTTCCTTACAAAGCTTTTGAGTTTTTTCTTTTCTTCCTTTCTTACAATGACGAAAATTAAAGGAAAATAAAAACATTTTAACTTCACAAGAGGGAAAAAATTAATCCGACATGATAAAAATAAGAAACAAAAACCGCCATTAGTAATGAGCAATCAGCATGTTTAGAGAGGTTAAGTTAGTATGGATTGTAATTACTACATTAGTTGAAGAATTGAAGGATTTGAAGAAAAGGTTTTAGAGGAAAGCCCCTCGAAGGGATTAAACTTGGTGTCGCTGATGAGGCTGCTGGGGCTGCTGATGAGGCTTGTCAGGCAAATATTGAAGGGCCAGGTAATATTAAAGCCCGTCTGAAAAGGATCGGTGAACCAACCTGAAAATCTATCTTCCATCATTTTAAAGACCTGAAAACCTATCTTCTATCATTTTAAAGAGGAAAGAGCTAGGGCACTTCCACTATGTTAAAAAGGAAAAAATTAGGGCTGATAATACAGAAGAAAGAGCAAGAATATGAAAGCAAACAGGTTTAGAACTATTAAGTCAACACTATGCATCTTATTAGTAAAGTGTAATACATACATTGTACTTACTAAATTTGTAATAGAATGTTGTTGTTCTGCTGCGTGAGCATCTGTAAACAAACTTAGCATTGTCCAAGCATCTAGCATAGATTGGTTTCAAAATTTCAATTTCACTTACCTCAGATGAATGAATTGCTTGGTCTCCAACATATGATTTTTTGAAGTTTTGAAAGAAGATGAGAATAGCAACGTCAAGCTTCTGTTTGTTTGTTTCAAGCATATCTCTGCCAATTGCAAGATAGAGAAGAAGACTAAGTAAGAGCATTTCAATGCAAAAACTACCCTAGGCTTCAATCAGAGGAAGAAGCATGCGAGTAAAAAACTTAAACACTATTTTGCCACCAGAGCAGTAAATCATGCCAAACACAAACTTTAATGCATTTGTCTCCATAAGAACAAAAATGTTGGGAGAAATGACTTCACCTCTGAGTATGCAAACCACTATCAGTGATATTTATCAACAGAAGAACACATGCTGAAAGTTCTGCATCATGGATTTCTTGTGATTCCCCACTAATGTTGAAAAAAAACACAAGTTATGAGTAAATGGATTGAAAAACACATATATATCCCACATTTATAAGTAAATATATACCTGTAACCACTGAGTTGTTTTGTCTTAACAATAGCTGCAACTATATGCACTATCCAAGCAAGTTTAGTTTCAACCACAGAAATGACTTGGAGATCAACCGCTTCCTGTTTTAAATACATTTAAAGATGTAAATTCAGCAACTACACGTATCCAATCACCATAGCATTCAACATTTACAAGCTCTTGCAGCTGTAATATAATTTACAAAACCACCTCTGTAAGAAGCTTTAGCCAGGAATAATATAAAACACGAAAGCATGGTAGCTCAAAGATATATAATGGCCTCTGAGTTTTTCAAAGATCACTAGTTTCATACTCATCCATTACTTCTCATTATTGAATAAATCAACCCGTAAATACATTTTTCAGTTTAGAGATGATAGACTGGCCAGATGGAAGTAAGCATAAACTCATTTCACTACACTGAAGCAAATTATACAGTGAACATGTCAGTATATAAAATTAGATTGGTAAGACAGAAATAAACTTCATAACTTCATACAGGGTTCTTTTCTTTTCTGTGATCATTTAGTTATTAATAATTGATTTTTTTTTTCTAACTTCTGAACAGGAAAGATATGCAATAATATACCAGCTTTGATCTATTTAAAAGCATCCACTTTGAATTCAAGCATATAGTTATTTTCTGTTGATCTTTAGGTCATGTGTTTACACCCCAGAAAAAAATCCTCTGAAAAGAGATGCAATAATGTTGTGCATTTTTCCTTCACTATGATGCAGGAGCCTTGAATTTTAAATAAATCCTCTTTTTAGTGTATTGATCTCATCTCATTATGTAGACATCCAAATTATACTAGTGAAGAAACAATGCCTTAGGAGAAATTTCACATACATTTGCCCTGTTTGGTAAAAAAATTGGCCTATAGGCCAATTTTGGCTTATTTGACCACTATTAATTGTTTGATTTAGTTAAAATATCAATATGAATGTTTGATTAATTAGCTTTTTGCAATTCCAAAAGGCTAAAATTCAAAAAGCTACTCCAAGTAACTTTTTCAATTAGCTTTTTGAGAAAAGAAATTATATCAAACAGCTATCAGCTAACTGCTAATTTACCAAACACTTTTATACAATCAGCTAATGTTATCAACTATTTATACCCTCTAATTAACACAATCAGCTATCAGCTAACAGCCATTTTACCAAACAGAGCCAATTGGACAACTCAAGATAGAATTCATGAGATGATGGACTGGTGAGTGGCAAAGAGCCAGCATCTGACATTCAGGCAGGCAGAAGCTACAAAAGACTAAAAGAACAAGAAAAAGATTATATTCAACACATTCCAATAAAATACTTATACTGAACAAGGAGACAATTAAGATTCAAAAATACTCAAACTAATCATAATCATCCTCACTTTCATATTGTTGACATAATGATAGTAATCCATTGCTTTTCAGGCTTGTTGGCTCTTCTTCTTCTTCTATGTCCAGCTTTTCTTCCTCTACAATCTCCTTGCTACTAGAAGGAGAAGATTTCTTCTTGACTACCGCAACTTTAACTTTCCTTACTGCTTTATCTCTGTCACTTGATTTTGTCAAAACATTTGTAGGATTCCTACCTAGTAGCTTTCTCCTCTTTGATGATTCTCTACTCTTTTGTGGTATATCCAAATCTTCTTCTTCATCATCGTCATCATCTTCAATTTCATCATCACGGATTCTTTTTACAAACTTCTCTCGCTTTTCTTTGAATAAAGATTTAATAAGAGCATTCCTTTCTTCCTGCATTTTCCTTTCCTTTTCCTCAGCAGTGTGTCTAAGAGCCTCAAGCATTGCTTCTACACTAACCGTTGCTTGTCTTGACTTCATTGATTTCAGTTCATCCAAAGTAGCAACAATATCCATTTCTCTTTTCGAATCAATCGTCCTATTTTCTAATGACTTCATAGCATCACCCATTTCTTCAGCATCTCTTCTCTGTTTCTGTTTCTCCATTTTCTCATCTTGTTCACGCCAAGGTTCAAAATTCCTTGTTACACCCGATTCAACAGCATAATCGGAATTTTTTGGATCCGTTTTGTAGGTGAACTCTGCGGAGCACTTTGTGCACTTGGAGTAGAATCTGTATATTTTAATACCCAAATAGTTGTCGGCGTGTTCTATGCGGGTGTTGAATTTGGTGCCCTTGTACATATAATTCCCGCAGGTATTGCATCTAACACTCATTGGAAGCATCATTCGAACCTTCTCCTGGTGGTTCTTTGGCTGCCTCCGGCGAGGTATCTTCGCCGGATCGAAATCCGGCGAATAGTACTTGTTCAAAACCTTTCTCTCTCCCATGGTGGGATGGTTTAGAACACTAATTGTGAGAAAAAGAATTTTAATGCTAGAAATCCCTACTTGAGTCCTTGAGGGCGTGAGATTTGGATGGAGGGCGTCGGAGATTGGAGTCGGTTGTAGTCTCCTGATGAAATATATAATCAGATGCAAGCAATGGGATACATAATCACAATACAATTGATGAACTGAATGCAATTTGATGATAATCGATTGCAGTGAGAGTAGAGCTTAGCGGAAGCCAATGGCTACGAAAAGGGTTCAGAGCGTTTTATAGTAGATCCAAAATAAGGATTTGGAAATTGAATTCCTATTCTCCTCAAAAAAGGAAATTGGATTCCTATTAGGATAAACTTATTAAGGCTATCTTTGGTGGTTATTTACGAGCTTATAGTTTATTTTATATTATTAATAAGCTATAAGCTTGTTTGGTAACGTTTTAAAATAAATTATTAATTTCTTAATTTTTTCATTTTTATTTTTATTATTTTAAAAAATAATGACATAATTTACCATTCTCAATTAAAACTTTCTCTTCTCTTTTATCTGCAACTTTCACAATAAATATTATTATTATTATTATAAAATCAAATGTCTACCCACACGGCCACACCCACCTCCCGTTTTTTATATTTATTATTATTATTATTATTATTATTAAATTGAATACCCAATCCAGTGACCCAGTTATCCACAAATCCCTAGTTCTCAATCTCTACTCGAAGAAGACATTGCGTCGAAGGCAGCCAATGAACCACTGGGTTGGGAATTAGGGATTTGTGGGTAAGTGGGTCACTGGGTTGGGTATTTAATTTAATAATAATAATAATAATATAAAAAGGAAGGTGGGTGTGGCCGTGTGGGTAGACATTTGATTATATGATAATAATAATAATAATAATAATAAATCATTTTGAATTTTATTAAAATTAAAAATAATTTAATAATATCTTTTAAATATAATTTAATTATAGTTAAATAAACTAAAATAATTAACTTATTCCCTAGAAAAAGTATAGATGTTGGTTTAAATTTTATAATCATGTATCAATAAGAATTTATATATTTTGTTATATTTAAAAGTTAAAATAATACAATACACTCATACCTTTAAGGGTCCGTTTGGAAAGCAGGAAAATGACTTCTGGAAAATGAGTCATTTTCTGGAAAACATTTTCCTTTCCAGTGTTTGGTTGCATTATGGAAAACTGTTTTTCTGTGTTTGGTTCATTTTCTGGAAAATGAGTAGAATTGTATAATTAAACATTTTAATTATTTTATTTAGAATATTACAACATGTATAATAATATATAATAATATAATATTAATTTTAAATATAATAAAAAATAGCTAAGTTTTTCAAAAAAAAAAAAAAACTAATAATATATCAAAAATATTATGGTGGTGGTGTAGTGGTAGTGGTGTTATTCGTTATATAATAATAATAATAATAATAATAATAATAATAATAGTAATAATAATAATAATAATAATAATAATAATAATAATTGGTGGTGGTATGACGGTGGTGGTGTGGTGGCGGTGGTATGGTGGTGGTAGCGACAGTGGTGGTTGCGGTGGTATGGTCGTGGAGGTGGCGGCGGCGGCGGTGTGATGGTGGTGGTGGTGGTTGCGGTGGTATGGTGGTGGCAGCGGCGACGGTGGTTGCGGTAGTATGCTGGTGGTGGCGGCGATGGCGGTAGTGGTGTTTGTGTGATGGTGGTGGTAGTATGACGGTGGTGACAGTGGTCGTGTGGTTGCGGTGGTGGTGGCGGCGACGGTGGTTGCGGTGGTATGGTGGTGGTGGTGGCGGCGGTGGTTGCGGTGGTATGGTGGTGGTGGTGGCGGCGGTGGTTGCGGTGGTATGGTGGTGGTGGCGGCGGCGGCGGTGGCGGTGTGATGGCGGTGGTGTGGTGGTGGTGGCGGTGGTATGGTGGTGATGGCGGTGGCGGTGGTATGGTGGTAGTGGTGGCGGTGATGGTGGTTGTGGTGGTATGGTGGTGGTGGCGGTGGTAGCGGCGACAGTGGTTGTGGTGGTATGGTGGTGGTGGCGGTGGTAGCGGCGACAGTGGTTGTAGTGGTATGGTGGTGGTGGTGGCGGCGACGGTGGTTGCGGTGGTATGGTGGTGGCGGTGGTATGGTGGTAGTGGTGGCGGCGACGGTGGTTGCGGTGGTATGGTGGTGGTGGTGGCGGCGGCGGTGGTTGCGGTGGTATGGTGGTGGCGGTGGTATGGTGGTAGTGGTGGCGGCGACGGTGGTTGCGGTGGTATGGTGGTGGTGGTGGCGGCGGCGATGGTGGCGGTGGTATGGTGGTGGTGGTGGTGGTGGTGGTAGTGGTTACGGTGTTGGTGGTGGTTGTGATGGTGGCGGGGGTATAGTGGTGGTGGCGACGGCAATAGTGGTGGTGATGGTGGTATGGTGTTGATGATGTTGGTGGTGGTGTGATGTTGGTGTAAAAGTTGGAAAATGACTTCCCCCCAAAAAAAAGGGGAAGTCATTTTCCTCCAAAACAAGCCTATTTTCCAAAGTCAACGGAAAATGATTTCCGTTGACTTGATTTTCCAGGCACATCCAAACACTAGAAACTTGGAAAATGATTTCCAGAACTCATTTTCCAGGTTTCCAAACACACCCTAAATGTCATTTTACATACAATAAGCTAGTAGTAAACAACTAATTTACCAAACACTTTTTTTATAACTCACTAATACAATTAGTTGGTCAAACCAACTAACACAATCAGCTATTAACTATCATATAATTCGATCAGTTATCAACCATTTGTCAAACACTCCCTTAATGTGTTATTGTACACTCCATTGCTCATGAGTTATGAGAATTGAAGCTACTCAAATTAGAGTTTAATTTGAGATAAGTTAACTTTTAATAATTTTTCAGTTTTACCCTCATCCTTTTGTACAATAACAAATTAAGGGCATCCTCAATAGTTGGGGATTTTTTCCCAGATTTTTGTGGGCCTCAACATTCACCCCATCATCAACTATCTCACTCAACAATCGTTATACCCTGCACCACGGTGCACATAGCACTATGCGCCCCGCGCCTCACAAAATAACGTCGTTTTGGTAAGTTATGTAGGGAGTTAACGTGATTATGTGTATTTGTTTATACAATTATGTGTATCTTTTATACAATTATGTACATCCGAATAAAGAAATTAAACAAAAATATGTGTATTTTGTTATACAATTATGTACATTCACGTATACAATTATGTGTATTTTAATATAAAATTATGTACATTTTTTAACATGAGATTTTTTTAAAAGAAAATGAACCTTCAACACAATGCAGCAAAATTTCAAAAAAAAAAACAAAAACAAAAACAAAAACAAAAACGACGTCGTTTTACATCAGGGCGCACAATGCAATGCGCGCCCTAGTGCACGATATAAATTGCCCTCACTCAATCACAAAATCTCTTCTTCCCATTAATTTCAAGTTTTTTTCACAACTTTTTGTGAACCCACCATTTTATCTCCATATTTTAATTATTTCATTATTTATTTGATTTATAAATTTATAATTTTATAATAACGCAAATGAATGAACATACGTAAATATGGAGATAGTGTTATGAATGAACCTTATGAACATACGTATAACATATCTACAAATTTAAATTTAATTTAATTAATAAATATAAATTTAATAACAATAATAACTTAAAAAATCAAATAAAATTATATTAATAATTTAAAAATAAAAACAAGAATTAAAAAAAAAAAAAAAAAAAAAAAAAAAAAAAAAACTAGCCGTTGCAAAAGCATAATGTTAAAAGAAAAAATTAAAAAAAAAAATCTTTAATTGGGCCAATCTCAAATTTTACAATCTCCCATGCGGCTGTCCACTACAAAGAAGTTTTTCTATTTTTTTTAATTTTTTTTTAAAATCTGACACAATTTTTTTTTTTCTTACAGAAAGAAGAAATGTCCAACACTTTTCTTTCTCATTTGTTAAAAGTTCAGCTCCAAGAATTTTACTGTTTCAAAAATTTTAGATGAATCCCTTATTGGAGATGTCCTAATAATTTTTTTACCCTCATGTAAAAAAGAGCAATGTTTGCACAGAGGAGCTTAATGATTTCCAACCTCTACTCAATTTTGACCATTAGTTTGGTATCGTACGGTGCAGCACCAACTTCACACCTTTTCTAGTCTGTGAAAATTTTCACTTATCAAATAAAAATATAAAAAATATATGTTAAAATGTCATCTCCCAACCAAAAAAAGACTTCCACAGTGGCATTATAATCTGAGGGGTATCACTCGGAGCCCTTGTTCCACCATGAATTATATATATGTGGCCATCTTATCGGACAGCCACGGCTGTCTGTGAAGAGACAGCCACCAGTTGTTCATAGTTTTTTTTTTTTTTTTTTTTTTTTTAAACCGTGTTATGTGTTTTCGAGAATAGTTAACACAGTTTTACGAAAGTCGCTATTCTCTCTTTTGTTTAATTTTAAAATCGGTCTCATTTTATAAATGAATTTAAAAAATCGTCTCTGACCTGGTTATGATTCAACTGGATTTGATGGTCAATTTATAAAATTATCACTGTATTTTTTCTTACTTTTGAGTTGTTGATCATCACAGATCAACAATTAACATTAATCTACATTTTTTACAATAAGCATTGTTATCACTTGAACCCTTCCTCTCCCCATACATATAAGCCAAGTCGCACCTACACTCTGAGCAAAAAGCCAAAAAAAAAAAAAAAATACGTTTGATCCAAGTAAAGGAAGAATCAATGTCATATAAGTCTAATTTAGAGACACGTGAATATTGTAAGTTGTCATCTAATATATCTGAGTTTATCTTTTTATGAATATAGAGTGGCGGAGCTAGGATTTTTCTTCAGTGGGGGCGAAGAAGCAAAGGGAAAATAAATTCAAAAATGTTTAAATACAAAGTTCAAATACAATAAGATTGTTAAAATATAAAATACATTATAAATTACAATACAAGATTTATGATCAACTACGGGATAATACTCCTATACGCTCTCTCATATTTTGAAATCGTTGTAGAACTGCTTCATTTGAAACTTGATCAAAAATATATTTTTCAACATACAACACTAAGCAATTATTTCAACATACGGCAAATTGGTAATTAACTAGGGATAATTAACATATTAGTAATTCACATAACTCAGCAATTAGAGCAATTGTTAACAGTAATTAATTTGATAAAATAATTCAAA